ATTAGTACTGCTAGAATATGTGGTTTGTTTAGATATTTTTATTGACCCGTGAATATACCTACTGTATAATTTATTATAGTTCAGTCCTGTGATGTTTGCTATAGAAAATCTTCACTTCAAGCCAGTGGGAAATTTTGCTAGGGTGAGCAGTGCAGGCCTGGCCTCTGCTTCGCCTTTTTTCTTTTCCATTGCAACACAATTAACCTTTTCATTAGAAGAGCTCTGTTCCAAATAAGCAAACTTCTCAATGTGTACTACTGAGCCATTTCAAGCTGTCTCTTGCTTTGGAACAAAACGTCTTTGTTCCAGCCATGCATGACATTTGAAGACCTATTTATACAATGTGTCAGCTCCATTTGTTTTCTTCATCCTGATATTTTCCTCTGTATTTTTGGTTAGCCATCCAGATTGCAAGGAGCGAGGCTGCTGCTGGTTTCCTCCTGCACTGTTGCAGACTGGGGCATGGCTGTCTTTGGCCTTTCTCCCCTTTCGTGGGCAGGGGTGAAACAACCCAAAATCAAACACAGTTTTGCCTATTTCATCCTCTCTGCACTGCAACCAGCACCACCAGACAGCTGTGGGATGGAGCGCACGGAGACCTTGCAGAAGGACCTGGTATTATTACAATTTCTCTCTTGATGCCCTGCCTGTGAGTGACACTGCCTGCGGGATGGACACGGCTGCAATCCCTTCTGCTGGAGAGGACTCGGTGGCGGCCAGATTTCCAAGCTGTATCACTAAATATACCCTCCTTCAGAATACCTGCTTTTTCTTTAGATGTTCATAATTTGTCCCAAGTCTCTAATCAGCCCTTCTTGTCTGACAACACAATGCTAACCGAGGCAAAAAAACAGAAAGTAAAATTAAAAAAAAAAAATCCTTATCAATATGTCAACTAATAAAACTTAACATCTTCCTGATTTTAGTATTGAGTAAGTGTAAATAATTATGGGGTTTCGTCCATCCTCTCACTTGTAAATAATCTATCTAACTTGGGACACATCTCCTCCTTCCAGGGTTGTTCCTGCTACTCAGTGACATGATGTCTGTCCCAGCGCTGGCACTACCTAGTGACAAATGAAAGTTTAAGTCCTTTTTTAGATCTTTTGCACTACCTGCCAGCTGAAGGTTTCAAGCTGCTTATCACGCGTGGGATGCCAGGGAAATACTGCAAGCCTCCCTCTAACTAGAAAATGAGGCTGAAGGCACCAGCCCAGCAGTGGTGAGCCCATGCTCAAAACCCCATGTGCTCTCTCCAGTGTTATCCTCACCAGGAAGGACGGGGAAGGAGGGTGAAACAGCTCCATGCAAGCAAACCCGTTCCTGCCAGCTATTACGTGGCCCACTCAAAGCCTTTCATGAGGCCAAACAAGGCTTCAGCATCGGCCTTGTGCTTCCCCATCCACGTAAGAGCAGAGAGAAGGTTTGGGCTATAAGACCAGAGATTAATCTTCAGAGCACCTCACAGTTGTGTTTCACGTAGACACTGCCTGCAGCTCCGGGGAAAGTGCATGATCTCCGCTGAACGTGAAGCTGCAGGTCATCTTCATGCCGAACACTTAGCGTGTGCCATATTCAACCGGGCCGCAATCAGCAGCCTTTTGTGCATGGCGGGTGGGCTCCTGCTGCAGGGAGCGGAGGTGGTGGCAAGCGAGGAGGAATGCCTGCAATACCGTGTGCCTCAAAAGCAGCGCTTGCGAGCTTGGCTTTCTGTTCCGGCAGCTGGGCTAGAGCTGTGTGCATGGCCTTGCTTGGCGCAAATGAAACCACAGCATCCATATGCTGCACATTAAGGGAAAGGGTGTTTGATCTGTCACTGACTCGCTGCTCAGGTGCTCCCTCTTCCTCTCCATAGCAGTTTCAAGGAGCACAGAGCCTGGTGTCAAAACCTGTAATTCTGCATACGTTTATCGGCTCTGTGATGGGAACTGCAGTACTTAAAACAGTTGAGAAACTGTTGCTGGCCACAGCCACGAAACATGCCCTCATCTTTTCCATGATGGTGGCAGAAAATAAAATTGCTCAAGTTGTATTTTCCTATTTAAAGGAAGAAAAAGGACTGCCAAAATTTCGTCTAACTAACTGATGTAACACTTGCGTTAACAAAGCAAAATGCCATGGAATTGTGGCCATGCATAGCCAAGGCTGCCATGAAGCCTTTTTAGGGCAAGGGGACGGTTGGGGTACCGCCAAGCTTCAAGCCTGCCACTGGGTTATTACTGTGTCACTGCTTACCGTGCATTTTTGAGCCATTTATTGCAATGTTCCATTAATGTTATGTGCTGCTAAGAAGCTACAGACCTCTCTGATCCACATTGAAGACACTGGTGAGATACAAGAAGAAAGATCCCCTGTGCAGAGAACTTGCTGGCTCTTCAGCATTGCCCCATGCGGGTTGGAAACCGGGCAATACTGCAACATGGAAGCAGTACAATGGGGAAGAAGCACAAGCAACAACCAGGTAACAATAGAAAGGAGTTTTATTTTGTAAAAAGTTATAAAATGAATATTGTACAAAAATAAAGTCTGTAGAGAACTTTGGTTGATTAACACAAATGACTGAGACACAAATCGCAGGTGAAGTAAAAAACTCCAGAGAAGCACACTCCTGTCTTCAGTAAGGTCTAAAAAAAAAAAAAAAATCACAAACTTTACCCTTTTGTATTTTGAACATAGTGATTTGCTTTGGTTGCAGCCTTTTCAAGCTGCGCAGAAAATGCTTTGGGGCAAGTTTTCAGCAACTGGGGCAAGTGAATGCACACCTCTGAGCACTGCGCTTGGTCGCCCGCCCAGCAGCGCAGCTGACCCTCAGCTTAGCAAGCCTTTACTGCCCAAATCATGCCAATGCTGGTGGTGGTATCAGCTGTACCACCCCTGCCCAGAACAAAGGATAAGGCGTCCCTGTGGCAGTGTGAGAAAGGACCCCCCGGGTAGGCTCTGGTGCTGCCCTCTGACTGCCCAGGAAAGCAGCGGAGGTTGGGGCTGAATTGCATTTCATACACCTGGTACATCTTTATATGCCTGTTCTGGACTTTTTTGACCTCTAGACCCTTCTTCTGTGATGCCCCAAAGGGTCCAGGGCAAAATGAGTCTGGAGAGCCATTGCATGCATGAGATAAAATGTCAGCCCATCGGGGTTTTTTTGTTTTCAGAAGGGATTTTTTTCTTCCTGTTGTTTTTGTGGGAGTTGATGCTTCACTGGTTGTCAGGTATGTCTAGTGACCTGCACTGCTGCTCTTTTGGGAAAAAAGTCTCCATGACGAGAGCTTGCATTAGCTGTCAGGTATGAACACCTTTGCTGTACAACCTCCCTCATCCTAAGGAAACTCAAACTGTTCTGCTGCGTGGGTATGATCCTATAATATTTCAGCAAATTATACAAAACACTTTGGTTACTTAACACAATTGTTTACCTGCAGACTATATTAAATCCAGGGCTAACTAGTAAGAGGGATTTAACCTCATCTATATGGAAATATGGAAGGAAAAGTTCAAATAAATATAACAAGAAATTATAAGGCTAAATGTGATTATTTTCCATTTGTCAATAGTTATATGTCAGTTGGCAAAAAAGTGTGAGAAAAAATGTGGCTACATTTAAAATATGACTATAATTAGTTTTTCTAACAAATTGCTAAAGTTGAGCCAAGTCCTGCAACCCTCACTCGTCCAGAGCCATTGTTTCTCCTGCACATGTATGACTGCAGTAATTTTCCAAAGTATTAGTGAACAGGAGGAAGAGCTGCAGGCTTCAGCACTACATTTTGTGAACATAATCAGGATTTTGTTTAAAAGAAAAAAAGGTAAAGTAAGTGATTTTTTGCATTCAAGTTAACACTTTCAATCAAAAACAAGGACCGTTGTTCCCAACTTCATTGTCTCTCTGTATCTTCCAAGCACCTTCTACTTTGGCACCTTTGAAAAGAAACTTTAATAAATAAGGAAAGGAGACTCATTACTGAATTGTAATAAATAACAATAACTTAATCTCAATAAATATCTTCTGTATATTTATGTCTCTGAATGGATGCATTGCATCAAGTAGTCTCTGCTCACTCACAATGACCGAATAGAAATGTAGTTACACAAGTGACATTAGTCCTTTGTAAACCAAAAGAAACCTGTTTTGTGTAGGCCGGGCTTGTTATTTCTCTTACTATACTAGGAAGAAGTGCTTAAAAACTCAACTCATTTTCATAGGTAGGAGAAGAATGAAGTCCTACACTCGTTTTGAAGAAACATGAGATGGAAATAACCAAACTTAGCCAGTAAGTGGAACTGTTCTGCTTTCTATTGATACTGGCCTACAGAACTTGAGCCTGGGAATTTTGATATTTGCCTGATATCATCTTACTTATGAGGTTAATCTTATTGTAGCTTGGAAGTTGTCCTGAGTGCTTAGGAACCGCCCTTCAATGAGCAGTAGCACAATGTGTCATCCAGTAAAGCTGAGGGCAAAGGGGATGAGTAAGGTACTCCTAGGCTACTTCTCATCTAAGCTTCCTGGCATGGACGGTATAATTACAACACAGCATGGTATAGCAAGGTTGTGTTTTTAAGCACATTCCTCAGGGATCCGAGTCTCACTGACGGTGGACTGTATCAAACAGCAAAGGGAGTGCGCACGCCATCCAGCCGCCGACATCACCACCTGAGCTTTTATGTACTTCCCGTAGCACGTCAAAAGCCTCCATCCTCCTACGCTACCTCACGCACCCCCCCACCCCGGACTCTCACAACCCCTTGTTCTGCGTTCTTGGTCCTTTTTTCTCCACTCTGAGCAGAATCATCCCCGGGAACCTTGGTCCCTCTCCTTGCATTGTAGCA